TGGCCACAGCAGCTAGAGCCGTTGTCGATGCGACACCGTTGTAGTAGACTCCGTTATCGTATTGTCGGTTAGTACCGTAACCAGTTGTTGAGTAACCATTTTGGTAGTATGACGGCGTCGTCGTGTAGCCATTGCTATTGTAGCCGTTATTGTAGTTTGACGTTTGGCCATATGTACCGTATCCGGACGTTTGTCCGTATTGGCTGTTGCTGCTGCAATTGTTTGCATAAGAGATCAATCAACAGGAATAATCTATTTTTACCCACAAAAGTAAAATTACCTGTATTGGCTGAATCTTGGTGGAGGATTCATCTGCTGTGGAACAGCATTTGGTTGTTGTTGTTGGTATTGCTAAATCGATCGATTTTTTGTTTTGCAAAAAAGTCGAGTATAGAAATAATCAGCAAATAATCATTAAATACGGATGGAGGGTAAAGTTCAGGGCTTACCTGGGCGTATTGTGCAAAGGCACTAGCGATGGCAATGCAAACAAGAAGTAGTAGTTTCATAATGACGTGAATTCGAATCTTTAGACGGATGAAGTGGTGATGATGAAGTTTCGAGAAGTTTTCGGTGGTAGGATTGGCGCAGTGTTGGCAACCACTTATATACGAGCGACGAGGGCAGGTGTAGTGTTTGCTTGATGGATCCACGGAGGGTACAGGTCGCCGCCAACCATGAGTGCCATGCCGACGAGCAGCGTCGTCGCGGTTGGTGGTGCCGTTGTCGCCAACTCAGCGGAGCAACCACGCCTGCTCTTCATCATGAAACTGATGAAACGTGATCGCCGCGCAGAGATCGCCACGAGTTCAGAGATCACAGATAGGCATCACCGTGAGGAAATGACTCAATATGGGTAAAGTTCTTACCGACGATCAAACATCTACGGGTTGCACAGAGTGTTGTTGTTTGGAAGTAGAGCTCATTGCCGCTGCGGAGCACGTGCTTCAAGGAGAGCACGGTTGGGCTCTCTCTCGGATAGGGGTCAATTTTCAACCAGGCAATTGCAGACGCGACTATCCTTCCCAATAAAATTTGTTCTCCCTCGGGCACATCTTGCTTGAAATGGCATCACATAGCATCAAGAAACGGCAGATGTGATATCAATTGTTTCGAGGCTCTCATCACATGTACTACTCTTTCGGTAGCGAAATCCTGGCCTGCAGGAAGCAAAGCTTGCTCGGATACTTGGATAATCTGCTGATCAGCGCGGTGGTTGGCCTTGCGTGGGTGTGCACTTCTTCTCCGTTCCTCTCGGTCTTGCGCATGGGTTGTCCAGTGCACGGCTGCCTCAAGGGACGCAGGATCACACTTCATAGGCTTTGCACCGTTGAACGTTGAAGTGACCAAAAGAAGCCACACTTTGAAGGGTTTCGTTTTTTCACCTCTTTTGGGTTTCCGAAATCACGATGCTATATTCTACATGTCGTTGTGACAATCGCGCAAACACTCCTATTATTTTCGATTTATAGTAATTTTATATATTTACCAGATTAGTCCCCCGTCAACCGCCGGGACCTTCCTTTCCTGCGCAAGCTTTCTATCCTCCGCTATGGTCCCTTCCTCCTGTGACACCAACACCTCCTGGAAGTGACGCGTATGCAACACAATGGTGTTTCATACAGTAGAAGGGACACAATCATGATATGACGGTAGATTTTTCGCTTCCCTTCCCATACATTCCCTACCTTCCTTCTCCAATGCCCTCCAGCTGCCACTGCAGCACCATGTGGAATGAACGGAAGTGTGCTAAGCAGGTGTTTATATAGCCCTAAGAGTGTTATCACAACTATCCTGCTACAAAACATTGATATCTCAAATCCTGTAAGCTACGATTTGTTAGCGGTTAGTTCGGTTTGTTTATCCCATGAGCTTCCTTCCCACTCACTTCATTTTGCGGACGGACACACATACATACATACATACATACAACAACATACAGACACAAACCGACACACAAAGTTAGCGCTTTATAAAATAGAAGGATGTATAACGAGGGCAGCAAGTAGATAGGGGGCAAGGGACACCGTTTACTGCACGAGCGGGCGGGGGTCAATACGGATCATGACGTCTTTCCGGGCTCACGAAGCCTTCCATACAACAGAGGGTGATTTAACTTGTTGCCCGACTTCTCTAGAGGATAAAAGTGCTTATGTTAGAGTGGCAACAGTTAAAATCACCCAGGGTTGATAGTGGAAAAGGCTGGCAGAAAGCTTTTGGATTGCCTGTACCTGCATTAAATGCAACTATAAGTTGAATGAAGTAGATGAGATGGCGCTCTGCGGAAGGAATTTTCCTGCCAAAGACTTGTCGATTTTTTATGATCATGTTAAGGCTACGTCTGTTTAGTTAAAATGTTAGCTGGCCTTTAAATAACTTTAGGGTTTTCTAATAAAACCACACAAATGCCATACCACAAAGCTGTGAAGGTATGGACCTAGCCTGTCGGAAGGTACTTCCCTGCCAATTTCGATGCCACTAGATTTGAATGATCTGTTGCTTACCCCGTCGCGTAGCATGTTTTTCACGGGCAACGACAATCACTAATGAAATTGAAACGTTGGCCGTTCGCAGGTGTTACCGAGGCTGCAGTTCATACTAAACTTGTGTAAAGTCATGAGCCTGTCTCTTCCGGATGTTTGAAAATTTCTATCGATAAGATTTTTTAAACTGCTTAACGAAGTATGAAGGGTTCCACCTGAACAGCGGCGTACCCGATAAGAGTCAAGGTGAGTTTACTACTCTGTGATGAAGGGGTATAATAAAGTATGAGATTATTGGGGTGGCGGAATTCTCCAGAAACTGCCACAAAATGAGCTCTAAGACAAGCTAAATCGCGACGTGCGTCAGTATGAATACACTGGTGTGCAAAACTTAAGGACGAGATAGATGAAGTATCATATCCTTTTGATAGCTTTGGTGATCGTTTAACGGTTCCTGTTAACTGCTTTCTTAAGTGCTCTGTGACAGCTCTTTGTATGTGTGTTTAGGTTTCATAGATCTTACGACTAGCCGGGATCACACGTCATTGCGCAGTTACGTTTGTCTCTAGGTTTGCACACCATGTGTCAATGCTTACATGTGTGGAACTGACTGCACCTCTAATTTTTGTAAGGACTAAGGTTTCCATAGTGTCAAAAAATCTGAGCGTGGATCGGACTATTATCGACACTGTCTCACAAGAAGGCTCTCCTTTATTGCTAACTATCAATTCTGCAGGATTCACCCCTCCCCTCCTGCGTGGGACTTTTCTTTTTGGTTCGTTTTTCAGTCTCTTCCTTGTTTTCACGTACATCTCATTTGAATTGACAAGTCTGTCCTTGTTTTCCCTATAAAGGCCCAATAGTCGGCTCGGCTAAGTTTAGTTTTACCTGGGTTTGTTTATAAGATCCTTGTAAGCAAGTTTAATACCCAGATGACCGGTCGCAGAAGGGTTTTTGGTCTGAGGAGGTTCGATATATTGAATATGGAAGCGCTAGAAGGTGCTTAAAACAATATAACGGAATTATTGACCAGAAAGTTTCTTTGTGGATTCAAAGCCCCTGGATAGCATGTTTCATAAGGTGTTTATTGACAAAAATCCATCAAGTTTTGTACAGAGGTTCTTGATGGACACATAGATATGCACGAAATCATGGACAAGGCTACCTCGCTCAACGAAAGTGATACTGGGTGTGATGGAGAAGCAAGTGCATAGGCAGTCGATCTATAGCGAAAACAAAAGACATTCAATTCCACTAAATTCTTGAGCAAACTTCAACGGGGGTGAAAAACAAGAAACCCCTTGTTTTTCACTCCTACTGAAGACCTGAAGACTACAGGTCTTCGTTCTATCCCGCGCAACCTCTACCCCCGCGTACCTTCAGAGGATGAAGAATGTCATTTTCGTTTCTACTGAAGATATATTGTTAGCAAGCCCCTCTGTGATTGATTTTGCTGAAGACATATTAGAAACACTCATGTGCCCCAGAAGCAACCTAGGCGTTGTCCAACTCAACTTTATGGAGGGGTGATTCTTGGTAATTCTCTAATGAAAATACAACCACGGAATTCTCTTATAGTTGTCCTGCACAAGCTGACTCACAATGAAATTTGAGACGAGCCATTTGCAAAGAAGTGTACCGAGAAAAGAACACATGAAACAGGGTCATCCTTGAGTGGGCAAACATCGCACGAAATCCTCTGCTCGCAAATCTGCCTGTTATTGGTGTTGCCAAGAACTTACCATCAACATTTTCTTCCACAAACTACGCAGTCCTTGCTTGACTAGATTTTATGAGTGGTTGATTTCGGCAATTATCCGAGTAAAAAATTACAATCCACTGAAATTCTGTTCCCATAGGACGGAATGGAGCGAGAAAGGCGCTCGGAAATCAAGGATGCGGGGTGGCCTAGGCCATCGAAGCTCGTCCACCAAGCTCCTTAGATTAGTGGTAGGCTTTCTAGAAGCTTACGAAAGCTGACGTCAGTCAGGTTGTTCTCACAAGCCACCTTACCGGCATGGTCGCATTTATCCCCGATTATGAACGTAATTTTTGAAAACGGTTGACTTATCTGCATGAGAATGGCCACTTGGCTGCTTCAGATAAGGCGTGAAACGGCACAGCGTTCGAACGTGGGGATTTGGGTGCCTGTAATTGGTTGAAAGGGACGGTTGCGGAGGATCCGCCAAGCACCGGCAAGCGTGATCGAGCGGGGTAATCCACGAATGAGTAATGACGTCAACAAAACCACTCCGCTTTCAAGGCACCGTGTCGACAGCATTGCGTTATGTCGAGCTCTGGCCGACGTCGGCAGTGTCTTCTGGAGTTTCGCTGAGGTGTGTCAAGTAAAACGTCGAATGGAGTTGATTGAAGAGGCAAAAACATGTTAATCATTACGGCTAGCAAATTATAGTTCAGTACAATCCCATTCCTACGCTCGAGGTTGTCTATACAGTTCAGTTGTAGGAAAAGTAGGGTGTGGTAGGGGGGGGGAGGTGAGGAGGGTGGCAACCTATACATAAGATAAGAAAAGCTTTTGTCGCTTATGATCAATCCCTTTTGGTGGTGAACGGCACGCATTCTACTTCCATTTGTACATTCGTAGTGGCATTTGAATGCGAATGTGGCCTATACAATGACTTGCGGGGGCCAGCCGATGTACAACTCAGTGTTTTTATCCTCCCAGATAAGTCTGGTACTATTAGCCGAGGGATAGAAGGGGTTGGTTGGTTCTGGGCGACTTCAGGCTCAGAATACTTGAGCCGCCGAAGCGCTCGCTGGGTAGCGTGCCACTTGCCAATACCGACATTTTCCCCCCCCCCCCCGGGGGGGCCCCCCGCCCAAGTACACCATGGTATACATAAACTATAAAATTGTAAGAAGTTGAGGTTCCCGCCGAACTTCGCTATATTTCTCCAGTGCCAAACTTCCTCTGTGCTTTTGACGATTATTCGAAGGATGCGTGGATAAGGAAAATCAAGAAAAATATACGTACTTCATTTGGCGCATGTGGCAAAGCAACCTGC